CTTATATATCTGACCACTTCTTTCTCTGTGTCCCCTCCGAGCCCTGTAGTAACATCTATAACATTTGAACTGTAATATTTGATTGAATCTATCCAGCATATAGTCGGCACTGACATTTGACATAGGAATGAATGAATGAATGACCATCCCTTTCCCATCCTCTCTATCCTGCATGTTGGCCTGGGCTGTCGCCTCAGTGTCTGCTCTACTCCAGACGATGCGTCTATTTCTAAGTCTTGGTCGTCTCTTCTGCTTTGTCCTGCTGGTTAGCCAAGCAGAGTAGGAGAACAGGCAACAGCTCTAAGGAGAGCCCACAAACTTTGTTCCAAATCTCATTATTGGAGCTCACCAACCAGTCCTTTGGCTTTTTGGGAGATGAGCTAATGCAATTATTCTCTTGATGGCAGAAGGCAACAGCAAGGCCACATTTGTGGAAGATGTCATTTCTTGGGTGCGAGGTGGCAGTTCTGGCTGGGGCAGTGGCTTGACACAAAGCAGGAGCACCATTACATACTGTTTCTGGGGAGGTCATTAAAAGATAATCCTGTTGTTATCGATTTTGAGGTAAGTCTTTTCGCAGTTGAAGAAACTCTACGTCCAAGAGGAATGAAAGTGAAGCAGACCAGATCATTTCATATTTCTTGTTATGAGCCCATCAAAGAACAAGGTTAAATGGAATGGCACACTGAACTGGTGGCCTTGCCCATGCCCGACTACAGGGAGCACGTGGCTTTAGACCTGGGCTGTGGGAGAGCTGGGATCAGAAACTTCATATCTGGCCAGTGCTCAGTTTCACACTTATAGTCCCAGAAGTTCTTCAGGGCTAGGCCACATTAAACAAATAATAATTTACATTCATACATAAAAGACTTTAAAAATCACATCTGCTAAATTAGGAGCTGGCAAACTTTCTGTGAAGGACCAGGTAGTATATCTTTTCGGCTTTGTGGGCCACATACAGGCTCTGACACACAAATGGTAATTCTTCTCCTTCCTCCTCCTTTTTTGTAGCTCTTTAAAAACCTAAAAGCCATTCTTAGCTCAGAGGACTTACAAAAACAAGCTGTGGGTTGTCCATGGACCCAGGCTGCCATTGCTGCTCCTGCTTCTGCTCTTGCTCTACGTGATCTCATCTCCTCTTCACAATGAACCTCTGGCATAAGTACGATTCTCCCCATTAAATAGAGTAGGCAACTGAAGCTCTGAACGATCAAGTGAATTGTTTGTGGTCACAGAGCTCATATGTGGCAGTGCCTGGATTTCGGACCCTTGGACTTCATATTCAGTTCTCACTTCCTTGCATCCTAGCACCTTCCTTAAAGCAGTGGTTCGCAATCGCTGGGGGCAATTTTGTCCCTCATGGGAGATTTGGCAATGTCCAGAGACATTTTTCATTGTCATAACACACAGTGGGGTGAGGGAAGAGCTACTGGCATCTAGGGGTGGAGGCCAGGGATGCTACTAAACGTCCTCCGATACACACAACAGCCCCCACGACAAAGAAAGACCTGACCCCAATTGTCCATAGTGCCGAAGTTGAGAAACCTGCCTTATATTCCCAAACTCACAAAGGGAGTAAAATTGTTTTCAAACTGCAAAGGAAGTGGGTTGTTCTAGCAGTTGTCAAACCGCATCCATCAACGTGCAGGCTAGTCCATTAAAAAAAAAAAAGTATTTCAGACTTTTAAACAAAATATCATTGTTTTCCCACCCATTTTTTCACTACCCTTGCCCATTTTTCTACACATATTTAAAATTTCAAGTGTAGATACATTTCTCCTTTTAGAACATATACCAACAGTTAAACCTAAAGGTCTATTTTAACACCCTGCTTTCTATGAAGAACAAGGTCAGATGGATTAACCTTGATTTTATTTCTTCTCCGATAAGTAAGGGACCATTTTCACGCATCTGTAATTCACACAGGGTCTGAAAATTGCTATCATCAAGTTATTAGTGATTGGGGCAAAAACTGTAAAATTGATATCAGGAGTATGATAGAAACTCACAGGCAAGAGGAGAACTTCATGTTTGCCTTGAGCCACACTTCCAAGGGGAAGACTGAGGTTCGTGATTTGGAGAAAACTGTGTACTGTCTTTTGGGGAAAAGAAGCTGGGCTTTGCAGAGAAGGAGGAGGAGAGAGACGTAGTTTGGGTCATGGCTCAGCCACCCTTTCAAAGTGTGACCTTAGACTCTTTGAGCCCAGTTTCCTGCTCTATAGCACAGTGTGATATGTCACTTCACAGGGTGAGGGAGAGGGGGTGTTTAGTGGATGTCAGTTGAGGAAACAGGTTCACAGAGGCTAAGGAACCAGCACAAGGCGTCCTTGCTAACAAATGGCAGAGCCCAACTAGAGCCATGTCTGACTGACACTAACATCCCCAATCTTTTCACAGCCCATGATGCCCCCTAAGAAGTTTGGACTCAATGCATTAAGCCACTGGCAGTTTTTAGAGCGGGGAAGTGTTACGACTGTGCTGTGCTTTAAAAAGAGAATGCTCATGGGGAGATGAAGGACGCATGGAGGGAAAGACCAGACAAGGAGACCAGGCAGGGGCTATCTGGAACCTGAGGTTCAGAGCAGAAACAGTGTCTTATTCGCCTGTGTATATGACCAGAGCTCAGCAGTGCTTATTTATAACAGCCACTTAGACTGGGTGAATGTAGGAGTCACATTACATGTTTCATGTTCCATGTTATGCTGCTATGTTGTGTTATGGGATGTATTATTATGTGTTATGTATTATCTTATGTTGTGTCACTATGTCATATTACTTGCCTCCTCTGAATCGGTTTTCTCATCTGTAAACTGGGGACAAGATCATTGCCAATGTCTTTTCAAGCTCTAACATTCTAAGATCTTTCTCTTCACATCTCACCCCTCTCTTAAGTCCCATCAGCCCTCCAGGAAGCAGTGCTCCCTTCCCTCTTCCTGAGGGTTCTGGGAAGGAGAAATGTCAGATGGGGTACTTAGTGCTGAGCCCCACTGGAGGGTCAAAGGGAAGTGGCCCAACTGTCCTGCCTTGGCTGGAACCGAGAGTCATCTTTCACCAGGGCCACAGGGCAGCCCATTCCACAGAGGCTTCCTAAGCGTGGGGCCAAATTCCCTGAACTTCCAGTAAGTGGCCTTCTCCCCTTGGCTGGGGGCCCAACCAGTCCTGAAGTTACCTGCCTGGTGACCTCAGGGCAAGGTCTGTTTGCCACAGGTCTTCTGCACACATTTCCGAGAACTAGTCAAGGCTGTTGCAAGCGCCTGCTGTCGACTTCTGTTTCCAGAGGAGTGAGACTGCCCCAAAGTGGCTCAGCCTATTACTGACTTGCTCTGTGACCTTGGTCAATCACTTCCCTCTCAGGATCTCAAGCTCCTCTACTGTAAAATGAGATATCTGGAAAAGGCCTTTCATTTTATGATTGCATTAAAAAACATAACATTTTAAGCATCCTGAAGATGACCATTTGTACACACAACTTGAAAAACACCTTTTTCCTTTTTTTGCTATCACCACAACAAACTAATAAAAGTGACACTTTTTTTTATATCGTTCTTCCCTTTAATGGTGGTATCTCACTTCATTACCTCTTTAGATCCTCATAAGAATTCTAGGAAGTAGGTATCACTCCCATTTTATAGATAGCAGGTCTAGAGAAAGGCAGTTAAGACTCCTCGGCCACATGACTAGGAAGAGAGCAGTATTTATTTAGCTTTTACTATGTGGCTAGCCTTCCCCATATGCCGCCTCCTTTAATCCTCACAATAAACCCAGAGGGTAGATTATTATCCCCACTTCACAGGTGAGGGAGGGAGGCTCAGGGTGGCATGTGCCCAGGACCACACAGCTGGAAGTGGTAGAGCTGGGATTCGAAGCCAGGTTTCCCAGCCCCAAATTCAATGCTTTTCCCACTACATCTACTACTTCTCAGCCTGAAGCAATTTTGCCCCCCAGGAGACATTTGGTAGCATCAGGAGACAGTTTTCACAACAGGAGGAGCGCTACTGGCGTCTAGTGGGTAGACCAGGGATGCTGCCAAACATCCTGCAAAGCACAGGACAGTCCACTCCTGCCAACAAAGAACTGTCCAGCTGGAAATGCAATAGTGCTGAGGTTGAGAAACCCTGGACTGAGTCACGCCTGGAATGGGTTGCCTCAGATGTAAATGATTGCCACCATCCACACAACTACCATACTTACACCATGAAGGGAATTACTCAGCAACGCCGACAACTACCTATCAAAGACTCATTAATTCCTGCATTGAAGGTTGGCAGTTTAAAAAAAATACTCACAAATACTCACACTCGCAAATGTATGATACTCTTCCTGCTTCCTGAAAGTGTTGGAGGGGGCAGATGAGTTGGCACAAATAGGTCCTAAGCTCTTTTCTTACTCCGGGATCAGAAAAGCACAGGTTTCAGAGTTCAGCAGGTTCATGTTCAGTGCAGCTCTTGCACTTAATAATTGTTTGATCCTGAGCTGGTCACTTGAACACTCTGAGCCTGGGAGTTTTAGAACCTCCTTCACAGAGTGGCTGAGAGGATCCAATGTGGTGGGATAAAGTTGGGTGTCTGCTTCTGTGCCTTGCATGTAGCAGGCCTTCCAGACATTTGGCGACCAGTTCCTGGACTGTGGGAAGGTAGAGGGAGCCCAGGGAGGGGTCCTATGTTCTTTTTGTGCCCTCAGATGCAGCCCATTCATGAAGTGCTGCTGCACACAAACCTGGGGCCTCCAAAGGCCAAACCCCAAACCTGCTCCGGGCCTTGGACCAGTACCTGATGGAATTCAATGCCTGCTGCTGTGGGACCTGCTTCAACAGTGGGGAGCCCATCCTCGAGGGCACCAGCTACAAGGTCAGTGCTGTCTGGGTTGCATGGGCCCTGCCTGTGAGCAAATGGAGATAGAGGGTAAGGCCTGTGCATACACACTCTGTCCAGCTCAAAGGGGCCAGTGCAGAAAGGACCTCTGGGACTCCCTGCCACTTCTTTCTGTACCCGCTCATCTACTACTTTAGGAGCCCGCATGCAAGAGTTCTATTGCTGACCCACCACATTAATTGTTCTTATGATTTCTCCCAGCCATCAAGACCCTTTCTCAGATGCGAATTGTTTCTCATCAAGATGTATATGGACAATAGGATCTATTTCTGGAGGGGTAAACTAGTTTCCTAGTACTGCCATGACAAATGATCACGCACTGGGTGGCTTAAAACAATAGATAGATGTCCAAAATTCAGGCGTATTGGCTAGGTTGGTTTCTTCTGGAGACTGAGGGACAATGCATTTCATGCCTCTCTCCTAGTTTCTGGTGGTGTTTTCCCAGCCATCAAGACCCTTTCTCAGATGCGAATTGTTTCTCATCAAGATGTATATGGACAAAAGGATCTATTTCTGGAGGGGTAAACTAGTTTCCTAGTACTGCCATGACAAATGAGCACGCACTGGGTGGCTTAAAACAATAGATAGATGTCCAAAATTCAGGCGTATTGGCTAGGTTAGTTTCTTCTGGAGACTGAGGGACAATGCATTTCATGCCTCTCTCCTAGTTTCTGGTGGTGTTGCCAATCCTTGGCGTTCCTTGTCTTTTAGACACATCAGTCTAGTCTCTACCTCCATCTTCACATGATATTCTTCCCTCTATGTCTCTGTTTTCTTTTCTTAAAGAACACAAGTCATTGGATTAGGTCCCACACTAATCCAGCATAACCTCATCTTAATATGATTTCATCTACAAAGACTCTCTTTCCAAATATGGTCACATTCACAAGTAATGGAGGTTTGGACTTGAACATTTTGGGGAAACACAATTCAGCCCACCACAAGGGGTAAGTAGATCTCTTCATAGTGTAAGGAGTTAGGACTAAAAACACAGTTGGGGCAAGTGTGTATAGCTGCAGCATGAACCGACTGGCACTGGGGAAGAAAGTCATCCCTTAAAGATGAAGTCTGGGGAGCTAGATTGAATCCCAGCTATTTCACTAACTCACTCTGAGACATGGGTTAATTACTTCATTCTGGGTTTTAGCTTTCTCGTCTGTTTCCTTTGAGTTCCAAGGATCTCTGTGCATGTCCCAATTTAAGATTCCAATTTCCAGGCATTGAAAACTGCTTACATGGTACATAGAATGATGGCCAAACACATGGGCTACCAAATCAATGTGTATAAATCAATTTCAATTGGCTACCGCAATGAAGAAATGTAAAGAAAAAAAGAAGTCTGGATGGGTAAAGCTAAGGTACTACACTTGGGTCCATAAAACAAGCGGTTGAAGCACAGGGTAGATGGGATGGAGCAACGAGGCTCAACAGCCATGTGTAAAAAAGAGACCATGTCCTTAGTCCCAGTTCACTCAGTGGGTGTCAATGGCATGATACAAACACCTCAGAGTGAAGGGCCAGGTTAACAGCAGCAAAGAGCCCGGGACAAGGTTCGTCTCTGACATACCAGAAGCTTTGTTCTTGGTGTCACACTTCATCAGACATTGGCAAAGCAAAGTAGGCAACCCAGTGAAGTGGGAAGACTCACACTATGTTCTAAGAGGAATAGCTGGAAAGATTGGGAATTTTCAGCATGGAGAAAAGAAGACTAATCCCTACCATGTGGGAAGGGATGAGACTTAATTCATGTAGCCACTGAGATTAAATTGTAGGATTAATGGAGAGAAGTTATAGCAAAGGGATTTGGGCTTAATGCGTAAGGATTTTCTTCTGCACACAGGGTGGCATGTATGGAGTTGGGGAGGGGATGGATGGCCACTTGCCAGGAAGTTGTAGAAGAGATTCATTTATCCAATGGATGGTTGGGTAAGATGGCCTCAAGGTCCCTTCTACACCCAGAATCTGGGTGTCTGACCTCAACAAGGGAGGGCAACATGATTAACGGTTGGTAGTTTGAAACTTAAAATCTATAAATTCAGTTTGGCTTGGAAGAAACCATAGATATCAATTTTTTTAGGATTCAAGGGAGATCCCCATCCAGCAGACCTGGTTTTAAAATGAGTTGTTGGTGGGTTATATTTCCTCCTTGGGAGAAGAGGCCTGAAATGTAGGCAAGGTGCATTTGATTCCCAGTGCTGCCATTTTTCATCTGGGCATAAGTAAAGTGAGATTACGTCAGTACCTTCCTCACAGGTTGTACTGAGGATTAAACTAGCTCACACACGTGGCAGGTTCTATTACAACAAGCAGAAGGAAGAGGTGGCTTCATGTAGGACGATCCACTGCTAGAAGATCTGTCCTGGGTTGGTGCTTTGTCTGAGTCCCCCCTTTGCTGGCAGAAGGGAGCACAATTTGGGTCCCAATGAATGGCCTGGGGTCCTGTAGGAGCAATTCTGATGGGATGAACCACAAGGGTGAGTGAAAGTCCCTGTGAAGGACGATGCAGAGAATAAAAACTAAGGAGACCACCTCCTATAGGGCCAAGCCTGGCACACGGTCTCCTCATGTGAATTGGGAAAAGGCACTGCCGGGTAGGTGGGTAAATTGGGAGGGAAGGAGAAAACCACTCTGGGCTGACACGGCCGAGCTCCAGGGTCCAGGGCTTTCCTGACTTCCCAAGCATAATGTAGACTGGGTTGCAGCCCCCATTTGCCCATCGGCAAGGCAGCTTTTCCAAGGGCACCAGAGTTCAATGAATGGAACTTATTCTGTGCCAGCCATTATAGCAACGTTTTGTTTGTGTGAGCTCATTTATTTCCCCCAAGAACCTTATGACATAAGTGCTATTATTAGCCTCAATTTACAGGTGAGGAAACTGGGGCAGGAGAAGCTTAGATAACTTCTTGGGTTCATCTAGCTAGGGAATGGCAGATCCAAGATTTGGACCCAGGCAGTGTGATGCCAGGACCCAAGCTCTTAACATTATACTCTACTGATTTACATCCTAAGAGTCAGAAAATTTGAGGAATGATAGTGGAGGGTCTGAGGCAATCTCAGTGACTACCATTTTGGGCTGTTGGGAGGGGTACATGTGCCAGTTCAGGGCTATCAGCTCACCCTAGGTTAAAGGGACAGATGTGAGCTCTGCCTGGGAAATTACACTTATAGCACTCCCAGGACTGTAAGAACCAGTGGCTTGCTTAGATCCTTGTCCACACAGTACAGAGACAGAGAGAAGAGAGAGTGTGAGCTGCCTAGATGTGCCTCTTCACTGGCCCAATGCCAGGCTCAGTGGCAGCCATGATGAGTCACATGCACACTCAATGACCATCAGAGAAGGGGGTCATGATGCTAATGATCAGGGGTGGGGGGGTGGTGGAAGAGTAGGGGAGGCTGCATTCAAAGTCTCATTCCTCCTGCATTCAGTCCCCTCAAATTCAGTCAGTTGCACTAGTTCATGGTGTTCCATTAACCTTGTTCCAAGCAGGGTGTGGACATCAGTTGGCCTTGGGGCTATCATGCTGAATTTTCAGTGACAGAGATTGGGTTGGCAAAGAAATCCATGGCTGGGGAGTTAGTCAGCCTCCATGAAGACCCATTAGAATCCCTAGGAATTTTTCCAGCAAACCTTTGCCTGCAGGGTCTGAGTTGCAGAGGTGGGAGAAATGCAGACAGAGAAAACTGCTGTGGCTGCCCCGTCAGGAAGTATAATTACAGAGCTGGGAGGGACGTGGAGATAATCTAATCCAGTTATACTCACACTGTGATCTGAGGATCCTGGGGTCTTACAGGCTGCCCCAGGGGAGGAGAGCGAGCCTGATAGAAACCCCAGCTTCAAGCAGAACAGCTCTATTTCCATCTGACTTAGATGTTGGGGTCCACGTAAGATTTCATTTAGGAGAAAAAATGGTGATAAAAAAAATAATGATGAAAAATCCCCATTGGATTAGTCCATCATTCTCTTATTATGGAGTCAAAAACTCAGGCTGAGAGAGGAGATGGGCTTGCCCAAAGGCACAGAGCCAGTAGGAGGCAGCAGGCCCTGGCTAGAGGGTTCCAAGCTAGATTTCCAGACATTCCAGGGTCAGTGCATGTGTTTGGATGCTTTGTGCAGATAATCTGTCATCCACTGTGGCTCTGCTGTCAGTCTTAGGAGGTTTGATTTGCAATTCCACATACAAAAACCCAGCAGTCCTCTGCAGAGAGGTGCTTGGCTGACCCTTTTTCTCAGAGTCCTCAGCTGGGCTGTGCCACCTGCTCTCACACCTTTCAGTGACTTGGAGTCATATTTCCAGAGGAGCTCACCTCTGCCTTCCTCTGCTATTGTCTTCCATGGAGCTGGGATCCCAATTTCATGAGATGGGCTCCCAGTAAGTGGCCTCTTTTCACTCCATCCAGAGTTTCAAATTAAGTGTGAGGCAGTGAGCACAGAGGCTTTGGTCAGCTACCGCAAGGCATTCCCCAAGGAGGGATTGCAGACCACTCTAGGGCAACAGAGTGACCCTCCCACCTTACCTACCCAGCTAACCTCCCCCTCCTCTGGGAAATTTTCTCCTCAGGCGCCAGAGCAGACAGATGCTGGAGCTGCCAGATCAGACAGATGCTGGAGCTGTTGGAGCTCCTAGTCTGTGTGCAGAGCAGGCACCCAGGAAAGGAGGAGAGAGTGTAACAACCCCATACCCCAGAACAGAGGCACCTCGTGTCCAGGGCAGAAAGTGCAGACCCGGGCTTGCTGAGCGCCTCTGGGTGCAGGCTGGGACCGACGCTGCAGATGTCACCACCTGCACTGGTTATTGGATAAAGACTTCTTTCAGCTGGGAGAAAATGCAAATCAACATAGACTTTTTTCATTGTCCATCCATGGCGTTGTAGGCTTTTTCTAGCATGAACCTCAAAATTCTTCCAACCTCTACCCAGTTGCAATGCTGCTTCCACATTTTAGGTATTTGTTACAGTAGCACCCCACTTCTCAGCATTTGTTTTCTGTGTGAGTCTGTTTGAGCTGCTGTAACAATAAACTGAGAGGCTTATAAACAACAGAGATTTATTTCTCACAGTTCTGGGGTCTGGAAGTCTAAAATCAAGGTGCCAGGCTTGAGTGTCTGGTGAGGGCCCACTTCCTGGTTTATGCACAACTGTCTTTTTGCTGTCTTTGATTGAAGGGTTGAGGGCTCCCTCTGGGGCCTCTTCTTTAAGGGCACTAATTCCCTTCATAAGGGCTCCACCATCATGACCTAATCACCTCCCAAAGGCCCCACTTCCTAATACCATCACCTTGGAGTTAGGATTCTAACATACAAATTTTGGGGGGGACACAAACACTCAGACCATATTATATATATTCACTCCTATACCTCCTGTGACTTTTTGTGATCTGTCTTTTCCCAAGAGATGGTCATTTTGAGGGCAGGAAGCAGGAGTCACATTGCTTTTGCTCAGCCCTGAATCCCCAGAGACCAGGGTAAGGGCTCCACCATCATGACCTAATCACCTCCCAAAGGCCCCACTTCCTAATACCATCACCTTGGAGTTAGGATTCTAACATACAAATCTTGGGGGGGACACAAACACTCAGACCATATTATATATATTCACTCCTATACCTCCTGTGACTTTTTGTGATCTGTCTTTTCCCAAGAGATGGTCATCTTGAGGGCAGGAAGCAGGAGTCACATTGCTTTTGCTCAGCCCTGAATCCCCAGAGACCAGGGCTGTGCCTTGAATAAATCATCTGTTGATTAAATAAGCAAATGAATTCTAGAGTAAGTTCACAGACGTGGCCCACACTGGTCAGTCTCCCAGAGTGGAGAGTGGATTTGGTCAACCAGTGGTGATCTGTGCACCTTCCCTGACCTACCCTGGGAGAGCCAATCACACTAGCCAGCCTCAGGGTCCCACAGCACTCCAGACAGGTTGCAAATAGAGAACATGTTTTGTCGCACTGAATTTTCTGTTTATCTGTCAGTTTCCCCAATTAAATTGTGAGCTTCTTGAAGGCCAAATCTACATTCCTGGTATCTAGCAGGTACTCAAGAAATGTCTGGTGACTGACATTATATATATATATATATATATATATATATATATATATGTGAATATATATATATGTCAGTCACCAGACATTTCTTGAGTACCTGCTAGATACCAGAGTCCTCAATCTTGTTAGGGTAATAATAAGGCTTATATAAACATGAAACAATTAGCGAAGATTTTAGGGCCACAGAAAATTAATTGTTGAGTTAATGCTAAAATATGTGGCACATAAAATAAGTGCTAAAGGAGGCAGGGGGGAGAGAGATTTATGTTGCTGTGGGCTTGTATATTATAGATGGCATGGGGCCTGATCCATGCCTTGAAGGATTTTTCAACTAGGTAGATAGGGAGTAGACCTCTGAGACAGAAATCCAGCTTGAGACAAAATCCGAAGGTGAGATGGAATATCGGGTTGTGTGTAGGTGCTGGGGATGGGGAGTGGGGAATACATAGTGAATGTAAATAAATATTTACATAAACAAATATTATCATACGTAAATACATAGTGAATGTAAATAAATATTTACATAAACAAATATTATCATACGTAAATATTTACATAGTGAATGTAAATAAGGTGCATAAAACACTTAGCACATGCTTGTCACACAGTGAATTATTAGCATCCCCATTTTTATTAATTAAAGCATATGATTCAGAAGTTTCTGATTTCTTTTGATCTTCTTCCTGAAAGAAGAAAAAAAAGACTCCCTTACTGCTTTCCATCCTATCATTAATTTACTTTTTACATTTCTGATTTCTTTTGATCTTCTTGCTGAAAGAAGAAAAAAAAGACTCCCTTACTGCTTTCCATCCTATCATTAATTTACTTTTTACTTTTTGAATTAATTTATATTGGTAATTAACTTACATTCATTATTTACCAGGGAGTGGTAGTTACATGCTAGACAGTGACCAGAGGCCAGACTGGCTAGGCCAATTGCACAGTTTACAGGAAGTCATTTGGTCTTGATCTAAAAAACAATGATTCTCAACTTGGTTGCATATTAGAATCACCTGGGAGTTAAAAAAAAAAAAAATCCCGATGTACAGAAGCTGCACCCCAGACCAATTAAATCTGAGTCACCAGGGGTGGGTAGTATTAAAACCTCCCCAGGGATTCCAAGTGCAGCCAAGGTTGAGAACCCTTGAGAGTGGAGGAGTCATTATATGCTCATGGGGAATGGGGTATGTGACAAAACGAAAGGGCAGGGACAGTAAAGACTATCTATGCTATTTTATCTAGTCGTGTCAATGACTTCTTAAGATCTGTTTTATGAGTCCTATTTCATAGCAGGAAACTGAGTCTTGGTGAGGCTGAGCCTCCTGGGTCACTGAGCTGGAAGGCCAGAGTTTGAATGGGTCATGCCAACCACATGCTTCCAATTCCCTGCCCACTTTTGCTCCTGTCTGCCAGTGGAGGGATTTGTAAGATAGTTTGTGGGATTCAGGGGGGAGGGGAAGGAAGAAAGCAGAGGCAAGGGGACTCATTAGAAATTAAGTGTAGTTATCTGGACACAAGATGAGAACTTTGGGATTAAGCAATTGCCTGGATTGCCTGTGAGCCCAAACCACCAGCTGAGTGATGCCATCTACCTGTCACCTGTCAGAACCAACGCCAGCCCCTTTCCCACTCCTCTGAGGATGCTACGTCCTCAGCAGTTTTAGAAATGAAAATATAGTGGCAGTGGCAGTTTCAAAAGTAGCAGCACTTTGCCAGATCTGTGCCTTTCCCTCTTCAAGAATGACTGGCTCTCACCAAGCAGAAAACTCATCTGATGTATTCTCCCTTAGGTCCTTTAAGGGGATCTATAATCTAAGGTTTTATAGGTAGTGGGTGTAAACACATGGTTTAAAGATATAATCTTCAGCTTGACAAGGTGTCTTTTGAAAAGTAAATTAATGACAGAATGCAAAGCAATAAGTACAGTCTTTTCTCTTTTTTTTTTCTTCTTCTTTGAGAAAGATCTAGAGAGTACAGCACACAATGAATCTTTTCTGAACTACATGCCTTTAGGGTAAAGAAAATGGACAGAGAGAAAGGGGAGGCTTCAAAAGCTACCGAGCAGGAATGAGCGAGTGCAAAGGGGAGCCATTCAGTGTCTGGAGAAGAAGCGGATGTGATATGGATTAGCGGAAGGGCATTGCTCTTCCATGAAGAAAATTTATGCTGCTACCTTTACACTTCAGAAATGGGCAAATGCTCCCTGGTGATCTTTTGTGCTGGGCTCCAGGCTGGGTGCTGGAGGTGTGGAAACATCAGACATGGTCCCAGACCTGGAAGAATTCACAGTCTGCAAAAGGTGGCCATAGGTCCTGGACCAGCAAGAAGCCCAGGGGGCTGGGGGAGAGAGAGCCCAGCTGGGGAAGCAGGCAAGACAGCCTGGAGAAGCAGGGGATGGCAGGCGGAGTCTCAGAAACTAGTGGGAGTTAGGAAAGCAATGGAAGTCGAAGGTGGGGTGCAACAATCACAGAGCTGGGATACCCCCAGATGTGTCGGGAGGGCAGTTTCTGCCTAGCTCCTCTGGTATTAATGCTGGTCCCTGTCAGGCTGGGGATGGCTGAGTTTAGACTTCTGGTTTGGTCACTGGGCCTCTCCTGAGGGCAGCCAGTGCTTGTTCCTAGGGAGATTCCCACATATGGCCACTTCCCAGCCCCTCTCGGGCTTACTTTGGGGTGCTGTTGGTGTTTCTACATACCACAGCCATGGTTATAAAGGCCAAGAATTTCAAACTGGCTTCACAGGTTCTCTCTGATCTAAGTCTAATGTATCACTCCATCTTTATCTCTCTTTTCAGACTGTGTGAGCCAGTTGTTCTAGAAATCTATTTTTCCTAACATGATGTACAAAGCCCTCAATGACTAGCCCTCCCTTCATGTCCTTTCATTCAGCTCTTCCTTCAGTCATGCTGTTTCAGCCATGCAGGGCTTTTTGCTATTCCTTATACATGCCAGGCCCTCCCCTGCCTCAGGACCTTTGCACCTCCTCCTGCCTGAAATGCTCATCTCCTACATGAGCTCATCCAAGGCTTGCTTCCTCATTTCCTTCCAGTCTCTTCCCAGATATCACCTCTCCAAATACCTTGTCTGTCCACCCTATGTAAAGAGGGGTACACTTACTCTCATTTATTTTTCTTGTACAGAACTTATCAACACCCAAGATTATGGTAGCCCCCCTTATCAAAGGTGGATACATTCCAAGGCCCCCAGTAGATGCCTGAAACCTTACATAGTACCAAACCCTATGTATACTATGTCTTGGTGATTTGATAACTGGGATGGATACTAAGTGACTCATAGGTAGGTAGAATATACAGCATGGATATGCTGCACAAAGGAATGATTCATGTCCCAGGCAGGAAGGAGCAAGATGGTGTGAGATGTCATTACACTACTCAGACCAACGCACGATCTAAAACTTATGAATTGTTTATTTCTTGATTTTTCCATTTAATATTTTTTGACAACAGTTGACTGAGGGTGACTGAAACAATGAAAAGTGAAACAGCAAATAAGGGAAACAACTGTATAACTTTGTTTATTTGTTCTTTTATTTTCTTGGTGCGTATTATGGATTGCATGTTTATGTCCCCTCAAAATTCATATGTGGAGATCCTAATCCCTAATGGGATGGTATTAGGAGGTTGGGCCTATCAGAGGTGGTTAGATCATGAGGATGGAGCCCTCATTATGAGACTAGTGC